CACCACAGCAAGTTCTAGTGAACCGCATAATTTGCACGCAGAGGCGTTTTTCTTGTTCCAGTGTCGGCAAAGGTGGCACTGCCACGGCAATCGTTGCTCCTCCGCGAACCGTCGGTACTCCAATGCACTCAATACGGCAGAGACCACACGTTGTTCCTCGGATCCTGCCTGTGCCACGTGCCGAGACAGCGCCTCCAAAGCGGCGAGCGGTAACTCCTGCAGTGGCGTCAAAAGAACGGTAGTATCCGCAGAACTCGGGGCGATGTGCTTCAGTAGGGCATTCACGGCGTCCTTGTATTCCACACGTAAAAAGTGAAGAATCGCCACCCGGTAGACGGGCAACCCGGGATGTGCCCTTTGCAGCAAAGGCAATAAATCCAAATTTGACGATAATGCACCTTCCCGACATTCCGCCAGCAGCTTCACATATATTTCAATCGTCTCTAGAAGAAGACCATCCCCAATGTATGCTGCGACGGTGACATGGTGACGAAGCAGTGCGTTCATCAAATCCAACCGCTTTTTCCGGCCCCAATTTCTGAAGCCCTCTGTCCCATCTCTCCCTGTACAACATGCGCGGAGAATGGCAGCAAATGTAACGGCTGCTGGAACGGGAAAGCCCCAATTCCGTGTGACTTCGTACAAAGAAAGCAGTCTTCCTGTAACGTCACTCGTTTCCTTCAGGTAGCTCCGTGCCGCACCCTCCACAGCCTCCAACATCATACAACGAATATGGTGCGGAATTCCGGAGGCAAAGTGTTTTCTCGTGCTCTCCAAAAAATCTGTGAAGATCGACACCGCCTCCATGTGTTTACCCAGCATCACGAGAGCCTTGCCACTTTCCCATGAGCCACCAAGCGAAGGGCAACGCGTGAGGATCTGATGAATGACCTCATATGCACCACGACGTAGTAGTAACTTAAAGGAGAGCCGGATACCTTCACACAGGCGTCGCTCCACACCCGCACGAGCACCCCGATGTAGTCCCATGGCGTCGCGGTCAACACCGGCATCGGGTTCGTTCTGAGCGAGGGCCTCTAGGTGAGCGAGGCAACGTGATTGAATCATCATTACTTCCTTCACGGCTGCATCGTCCACGTCGATGGCTGTCTCGCCCACATGTCCAAGGGTCATAAGTGCATATGCGTCCAGCAGCAGTGCCTCTCGGTACACAAGGGGACCGTAACGTGCATTCAAAGCAGAGGGGTCTTTCTCCAAACCTTTTCGCCATGGCGCTGTTATGGCACAATGCAATTCCAGCACTGGACGCACAAGATTGTGGCGACAAAAGGAACACAAAACACGTCGGAGAGAAAGAAGAGTCCCCACCTGATGTCGCTCCTTCGCCGTTGCATCACAAAGAACGCAATGCGCATAATAAACCATTTCATAGAGAAGGACGTGCCAAAAAGGAGAGAATACGCTATCTTTTGAAGTTTCTCCAGAAGCATGTACCATTTGCAATAAAGAAGCCATTTGTTTCTCGTCGTCGCCATTCAATTTCCCATCCGATGGTTTTATAATCAAAAAAGTTGGCGCCGCGCAGGCGGCTTCGGTTGCTGCCTCCAGCAACTGTTTTTCAGGTCGTGGCGACGATGTGGCACGTCGTGCAAGAAACCACAAGACGCCTCCGTGAAGTTTCTGTGCGTGAAGATCCCGCAGGCCCTCATGCAGTGTGCATCTCGCACCTTCCCTCGTCGCCATGCGCCGTGCCAGCGGTAGCAGCAATGAAAGACTCATCACATCATCGGGAAAAACGGAATCCTTCACCAGAGTTGTGGCACAGTCCCACGCCTCCCTTAACGTCCAAAACCACTGGTTCTCTTCCACGATAGCCCCCAACACACGCCATGCAAACTCCTTCTGAACACCCCACACAAGTCTGACGGCCTCATCCTGAGCGGCCTTGTTTGCGCCGCGCAAGAAGCGCGGGGTTTGAAGAATTCGGTGCAGCAACGCCGTAAATTCCCTGGCGGTAAAGCCGTCAGTCACTACGGCGTCACATACGATCCCCTCAAGCCACAGTCGCCGCAGCAGAGAAGAGCGGTAGAGCCACAGGGCCAGCGAAGGCGCCGTGTTCGAGGTCGAAGAGTCCTTTCTGTCATCAAGACGTCGCAGTTCCGCCAGCATGAACGCCGCTCCGTGGCGCCCCCCGCTGTAATATTCCAGCGGAAGCAGAGGAATCTTGCGTCCCACTGCCGCGGCTCGTATGTACGGTGCCTTCAGCATTTCATTCGAGACCCCTTTTGCTGTTCCAATGAGGGTCAAGGCACAACACACATTCAATTTAAAAAAAAAGGTCCGATTAAATAAAAAAGGATTGAAAAGGGCACACGCTCCAAAGGATTTCACGCGTTTCGCCGCACAACCGCCGCGTCATTCAACAAAAAAAAAAAAAAGGAAAAAAAAGGGAAAAGAAAGAAACAAAAGACGCGTTGCATCACGCACTGCTGCCCTTCTCCCCAAACGACGCGGTGTGGAGTGTCTCCACAACGTCCTGCACCCTCACAGCCCGGTTGTTCGTCACCCGAAGTCGCTCAACAAACTCAAAATACGGCACAAGCACCTCCTGCCGGAGCAAATGCAGAGTCCTCTGGAGCACCTCCATCCGTGTCTCGGACGTCGGTAGAGTGGATGACGACGCGACGGTCTCAGAAGCCGTCGAGAACGACGGGGTGGATGCGGTGGCCTGCGAATGCATCGCCCTTCAAACTAAACGGCCCCTCGGCACCTCTCGTTGACAGACGCACAAAAAAAAAAAATAAATAAATAAAAACTAAATAAATAAAAAGGCCACAACAGGAGCAAAGAAACCGCAGAGAGAAGAGAAGGAGTAAAAAAAAAAAAGTCACAATTCACGTGGCGATAAGGCCACAAGCTACATGAACTACACGAGCAACAAAAGCTGCTTTAGAATGACCGCTAACCGTCCGTCATTGTCCATTGCGTTTGCCGCAATGTCATGGTGTCCCATCGCCCTCGCAAGCGCCGCCACGTCTTCTGACAGCAGCTGCATCGCTGCAGACATAAGCGGGCGGTCAGCGGTGCGTGCGCAGTAAAGAGGAAGTTTCACATCGCTCGGGCCGGTGAATGGAGACACGACAGCAGCGACGGGAAGACCCGGCTTGGCCATCACACAACAACGTCCGCCACATAATAGCAGAGGGTGGGGAAGGGAACAACCGTAAATTGTGGCAGCCGTGGCGACAAGGTGGGCAGCAGCGCCTAATGCAAGACCCCAATCGTGCATCACGTCCGACGTCACTCCCACCTCCTTCCCCTTCACAGGCAGATAATGGCCGCATATGGTGTCTGCCAATCCAGCTGAATCCACGTGAATAGGGAACATTGTCCTCAATTCTTCAAACCGCAATCGCCTGACAGTGCCAAGCTGTGCACGAAGCGTGGAAAGAGGGAGCTCCTGTTCATTCAGCATCTTATTTGCCTCTTGTTGCTGAACCTCTTCAAGTGCTGTGCTTGACTGCAGCTTCTCTAGCTGCGCCATCTGCAACATCATTGATTCTTGCTCCTCCTTATATCGACCGCGCAACTCAAGTAATTCACTTGAGCGGCATCCTAAATCTTCACGGGCCTTAGCGAGACGAGCCTCCAACATCGCACGCTGCGCCATGATAGCAACCTCCTCACGACGCGAATCCATCATGTCATCGATATACGCCTGCCGTTCTCCACGACGACCCACTGCTAACTCACTGAGATACGTCCATGCTAACGTAGCCGTCGCAAATGTTTTAAGGTCACCCAGCGTTATTTTTTCCACTGGAGCATTTATGCTTTTTCCCCGAGCTCGCATTACTTCTGCGTCCACGCAGAGTCGCGTGGGATCCGAGTCTTCGTGCAAGTACGGTGTTTTAATAAAATCCATGCCCTCCCCTCCCTCATCCATCTGCACGCCCTGGTGCTTTGGAAAAAAAACACCATCCATACAGCGGAGCAACACTACAAAGGAGTTCGGTCTATTTTCCACGTGATACGGTAAGTTTGGCAACGAGTCTGCCTTCGTCATTGAGGCGGCCACGTACTGTACATGGGAAGTCTGGATCAGCATCTCGTAGAACAGGCAGTCTGTTTCAGGAGACGCAATCGCCTCCTCCGGGTGGGTTGTGCAATAGTACAAGGAAAAAACAAATCGCGTGATTCCCTTGAATTGCTCAATGGTTTCTTTCGGGATGTGGTCCCACACCGGCTGCTGAGTTTCACGGCGCACCTCACTTGTGTAGATGCGGCGGTTGCCCCCTTCCGCCGCCATTTTCCCGACTTTGCCCGGCGGAAGACTCAAAACAAAATATGACGAGACACAACGTTGCCCCTGTGACGTACGGCAGCCAAGACGCGCTCCATCGCACAACGTTGGAGTGTCCAGCGCCGATCCCGCAATTCCGCCGTCGTCCGCCGCCTGCACCGTCGCCCCCATCGGATGAAGTGGCAGGTTCCGGGCGTATATGTGCGTGATGTGACGAAAGCAGCGAAACTCATCCGGCAAAACGGAAGACGACATGTTTCCCAATACCAAAAGAAGAGGAGAACGAAAAACAAAGTAAAGTTATTTCTTCTCCTTTGTTTGTGTGCACGTGCCTTTCTAATGAAAAGAGTATACGCGTCTATGTCGTATTCCCCCTTTGGCCACGATGAAAAGGTAGATGGAGTGAAAGGAAAAACGCACAAGAAGTAAAAAAGAAAAAGATGCAAGTGGAAATGCAGCTGGGGAAGAAGCAAAAAAGAAAAAAAAAAAAGAAAAGAAAGACGCCGATGGGAAAAATAAATAAATAAACAAAAAAGAAAAGGAAAAATTACCGTCAACTCTGCCTTCGTGCGCTGCCTGCATGAATCTCGTCTTCCGCCACGAAGCGTCCACGTTTCTGTGTGTGCATTTGTAACCGAGAGCTGCTGTCGATGTTCTCCCCTTTTTGTTGTTGTTCGTTTGTTTCTTCCTTTTGTTTTTCCTTTTTTTTTTTTTTTTTGCTGTTCGCTTCATTTATTTACTCGCTATTGCTGGCTGCGGAATCAATTGTCTTCGCCGCCCGTGCGAACCCCTCGCAGATGCGGGCACACATCACATGCGCCGTAGTAGGGTACGCGCTCAGGCAGGCCTGCTGCGTCACGTAGTCGATGCCGTCGAGATCGGCCTCGTCGGTGCAGGAGATGCAAAAGAACCCCGCGACATTCTTCACGCCGCCCTGAAGGTTGTCGTCCACCGGTTCCGCAAGCGCCTCGCGAGCCAACTGCGTCGCGGTACGCACGGGCGCAGCGACAGCATTCGTCAGTCCGATAACCGGCGCCCCACACGGCACCACAGGCGCGACGGAGCCCGGCAGGATCCTCATCAGCAAAGTCCCATCCACCGACCGCACCGCACCATCGCGGAGCAGCGCGGCGACAAGTCCTTTGAAGCGGCGAAATGTGCGTGGCGGGCGCAGTGCTGGCGAAACCTCAATGGTGCGTCCGCTGCGTGCGAATAGACTGATGTAAACACGCAGCCGCCGCTGCCATCCAAGCTCCGAGTCAAAGAGGGCGAGGAGGCACTGATGCACAATGTCAGGGCGGACATCCTTCAGCGAGGCGTTCGCAATCTCAGTGCTTGCCGCGCGGTCGTACGCATCAACCACGCCCTCGCGTCCAA